TACTGCTTTATTTCGTCTTCACGAGTCTCCCCGCCGGTCTGCCAGCGCACTGCGGGAGGAAAATACTGGTTAGCACAGCTTTACTAGGAAAGTGAGCAAGTAACATTAAAATAATTCATACAAGACGATGAAGAAAAGTGTATAGATGTGTTTTAACGTACCTCTGTGACTCTCATCTCCCCGCTGGTCTGCCTCGGAGGAAAAGACCGGTTAATACAGCTCCACTCGGGAAACTGAGATATTCTCACGGAAATTTAAACCTGGCTTTATATCGCGCAAATAACATCAGCATACAACGTATCAAGCGATAAAAGAGTCAAGAATGAAAATTAAGCTACAATACTCTAGTGGTTTTTCATCTTCACGAGTCTTTCACAGAGCCGCTGCCGAGGAGGTGTGTGGTTGTTTTTCGCAGTCATTAGGACTAACTACTGTTTTTAGATTTACTAAATATACTAGGCAAATATTTTTTCAAAACGCACTGAAAATCTAAAACCCTGCTGGAAGCAGTGCAACCAAGAGAAAAGCTATGAACGGAAGAGAATAGACTATTGGAAATAATTTAATACACATTCATGGAAAAATATATTAAAACTAAATCAGTGATTCTGATAGTGTTTAGGCCAGCAGAGAAGGCTTTGCTGGCCCTGACGGCCCACCACTGCCAAATTCCCTATATTAAGTTTCCCTACTCTCTATGCTGATTACATGGCTACCTAAGATTACCCAGTTTTAAGGTTATTTACTAGCAAGTCAATTTTTACTGGCTAATTTGCTAAAATATTATGTATAAAATCACATATAAATTTATGAGAGCTTGTAAACCTGTTTAAATGACTCCTGAAACTTTGCAGTGTCCATGTGCTCTTAGCAGCAAGAAAAATAAGACTTTAATTCAAACAGTAAACAGATATTAGGCTATGGACGTGAGCAAAGAGTGGGACTATATAAGCATCATGTCCTTTAGCTGTTTATGAGCTTCACTGAGTCAGTGTGAACTAATTAAAACATCTCCTGCGCTCAACTTTAACTTTAATTATGATAATCTGTCATTTTTCATACCCCTAATAGTAAGACATTTGATATAAATACATTTAATTTGTTGAATTGTTAAGTAAAGTTGTGGTAGAACTCATTGTATGGAATATGGTTGCAACAAATTATTATTTTGAAAATTCTTTAACTATTAGAGTGATTAATCGATTAAATGTTTATTTCATCAATTAACTAGTAGGTTATTCAATTATTCAGCTTTTGCAGTTAGCTAAAACATTGAGTTATACATATTCTAACTAATAAATAAAACAAGAAAATCTCTTCAGCTTTTAAAAATGTAGAATTAAATTTTTTTTAGGAAATTGTATAGGGCTGCACAATTAATCAAATTTCTAATCGTGGTGATAACAATTACAAATGCCACAATTACATAACCGTTCAAAGCAGCAATTAACTGTTCAAAGTCCACTTATATTATTCTGCATGCTTAAGATGTGTTTTTTCTTTCTGCATGTTATGTTAAGGGCTTTTATATTTGTTTTCATTTTAGTATAGCATTATAGTACCATGCATATTTTTATTTTTTACTGTTTTTCGTTGTTGTTGTTGTTGTTGTTGTGTAAAGAAACCAGTCCAATGTATAGTTGACATTTGAGGCTCAATATTATAGAAATGCAATAAGTTTTTCAGTAAGAGTGTTTTCAGCTTGTTTATTTTCATTAGAAAATATGGCATGCAGTTGCTTCAGACAGTAGTATAAACATCACTCAGTGTAAACTGTGATAATTGTAATTACAATTTCAAGGAAATAATCAACGATTCTGATTTTTGTCATAAAATTGTGTTTTCTCAATACAAATAAATGCGGCAGAGAGACGTTCTCATTCATCATTTAATTAACTGTTTGAAAAAGTAAGTACTAGTAAGTGATGCATGCTAAACATATCCTTTTGTAAGTCATATGGAACTAAATAAATGTAAGTGAAAAGATGTTAAATTTCTGGATAAACTAGTCATTTTTTAAATTCACAGCATTTCCTCTCTTATTATAATAATACCTTATAGTGTTACTATAATGAAAACAGTCCTGAGCCAGATCAAGTTTTAGTCTAAACTATTGCTTTAAAGGGGTCATATGATGCAATTTCATTTTTTCCTTTCTCTTTACTTTAAACCGCATAAACACATTTCATTACACCAAATACACAAAATAATGTTCTTTTTAGCAGCATCATATGACCCCTTTAATATTTTGGGATATTTTGCATTCACTAATTAAAAAGACAACTGACAAGCATTCGTGTGAGGGGTTATGGGATAGCCCAGCTTTAGTTTAAAAGAGTACAGACATTTTTATCACTCATAACTTCTGGAGAAAATTTGCACAGACTGACAGCCGGCGTTTGCGCATGCTATCAAATAAAGCATACTGAATGTTTGACTGTATTACAATTACTTTTTTGGTTTTCTTTTTTCAGATCTGTTCCTCCATGCCACATTACAATGAGCTGTGACGTTGTAAAGATAGAGTTTAATAAAGAGAAGATTGTGGATTTTACATGCCATCAGTGTGGAAAGAGCTTCACAAGTAAAGGAAACCTCAAAGAACACATGAGAATTCACACCGGAGAGAAACCGTTCACATGCCCTCAGTGTGGAAAGAGTTTCTTACGTAAACAAGGCTTAATACGTCACATAAGGATTCACACCGGAGAGAAGCCGTATGTGTGTCAGCAGTGTGGAAAGAGCTTTATAAGTCAAGGAACGCTTGGCACTCACTTAAGGTCTCACAGTAATGAGAAACCGTTCAAGTGTCCTCAGTGTGAAAAGAGTTTCAGACGTAAAGATCTCTTCAGTCGTCACATGAGAGTTCACAGTGGAGAAAAGCCTTTCTCATGTCCTCATTGTGAGAAGTGTTTTTCAACTAAATGCAGCCTTGGTATTCACAAACGAATTCACACCGCAGATAACCCATTCTTATGCTCTCATTGTGGAAAATATTTTGTATCTAAAACCTACCTTGAGGATCACATGAGAATTCACACCGGAGAGAAGCCGTTCACATGTGATCAGTGCGGAAAGAGTTACAAATGGACAAATAGTCTCAGAGTTCATAAACTCTTTCACTCCGGAGAAAAGCCATTTAAGTGTGATCAGTGCGATAAGAGGTTTGTTATGAAATCACAACTAAAGGCCCACATGAAAACTCACACTAAAGAGAAGCCATACTTGTGTTCTGTTTGTGGGAAGAGTTTTGCATGGCTGGGCAGTTTTAAAGACCATCTAAAAATCCACTCTGGTGTGAAAGAGTATTTGTGAAAAGACTGTGGTAAAGCCGTTACTGCAGCCACTCAGCTGAAAGTGCACCGCAGGATCCATACTGGAGAAAAACCTTACAAGTGCTCGCATTGTGAGAAGAGCCCCAATCTCACACCTCATCAACATGTCTTTCATTTCTTCCACTGTTCCAAACTGCTGCTGTTACTCCTATTCTCAAAAAACCGAATCTGGATCCTGTAAATCTATCCAACTACCGTCCAATCTCTAACCTGCCATTTGTATCTAAAATCATGGAAAAGACTGTTGCCTCTCAGCTGCAGTCATTTCTAGCTCGCAACAATCTCTTTGATATTTTTCAGTCTGGTTTTCGCTCACGGCACAGTACGGAAACTGCTCTAGTAAAGGTTGTCAATGATCTATTACTTTCTGGAGACTCAGGCAGTTTATCAATTCTTTTATTACTTGACCTCAGCTCAGCTTTTGATACTGTTTGTCATAAGATATTACTATCTCGCCTTGCAGAGGTTGGCATCTCAGGTTCTGCATTATCCTGGTTCTCCTCATATCTCACAGATAGGCAATACTTCATCTCACTGCACAATTCCAAGTCTCCCACTGCTTTTTCAGACTGATGAGCTTTGTAAAAATCGACGCGTTTCAAAAAGGCGGGGCATAGAGGAGAAACAATAATGTACAGTATGTGGAAAATAATGCGTTTTTTTTACTTTAAACCGCATAAACACATTTCATTACACCAAATACACAAAATAATGTTCTTTTTAGCAGCATCATATGACCCCTTTAATATTTTGGGATATTTTGCATTCACTAATTAAAAAGACAACTGACAAGCATTCGTGTGAGGGGTTATGGGATAGCCCAGCTTTAGTTTAAAAGAGTACAGACATTTTTATCACTCATAACTTCTGGAGAAAATTTGCACAGACTGACAGCCGGCGTTTGCGCATGCTATCAAATAAAGCATACTGAATGTTTGACTGTATTACAATTACTTTTTTGGTTTTCTTTTTTCAGATCTGTTCCTCCATGCCACATTACAATGAGCTGTGACGTTGTAAAGATAGAGTTTAATAAAGAGAAGATTGTGGATTTTACATGCCATCAGTGTGGAAAGAGCTTCACAAGTAAAGGAAACCTCAAAGAACACATGAGAATTCACACCGGAGAGAAACCGTTCACATGCCCTCAGTGTGGAAAGAGTTTCTTACGTAAACAAGGCTTAATACGTCACATAAGGATTCACACCGGAGAGAAGCCGTATGTGTGTCAGCACTGTGGAAAGAGCTTTATAAGTCAAGGAACGCTTGGCACTCACTTAAGGTCTCACAGTAATGAGAAACCGTTCAAGTGTCCTCAGTGTGAAAAGAGTTTCAGACGTAAAGATCTCTTCAGTCGTCACATGAGAGTTCACAGTGGAGAAAAGCCTTTCTCATGTCCTCATTGTGAGAAGTGTTTTTCAACTAAATGCAGCCTTGGTATTCACAAACGAATTCACACCGCAGATAACCCATTCTTATGCTCTCATTGTGGAAAATATTTTGTATCTAAAACCTACCTTGAGGATCACATGAGAATTCACACCGGAGAGAAGCCGTTCACATGTGATCAGTGCGGAAAGAGTTACAAATGGACAAATAGTCTCAGAGTTCATAAACTCTTTCACTCCGGAGAAAAGCCATTTAAGTGTGATCAGTGCGATAAGAGGTTTGTTATGAAATCACAACTAAAGGCCCACATGAAAACTCACACTAAAGAGAAGCCATACTTGTGTTCTGTTTGTGGGAAGAGTTTTGCATGGCTGGGCAGTTTTAAAGACCATCTAAAAATCCACTCTGGTGTGAAAGAGTATTTGTGAAAAGACTGTGGTAAAGCCGTTACTGCAGCCACTCAGCTGAAAGTGCACCGCAGGATCCATACTGGAGAAAAACCTTACAAGTGCTCGCATTGTGAGAAGAGCCCCAATCTCACACCTCATCAACATGTCTTTCATTTCTTCCACTGTTCCAAACTGCTGCTGTTACTCCTATTCTCAAAAAACCGAATCTGGATCCTGTAAATCTATCCAACTACCGTCCAATCTCTAACCTGCCATTTGTATCTAAAATCATGGAAAAGACTGTTGCCTCTCAGCTGCAGTCATTTCTAGCTCGCAACAATCTCTTTGATATTTTTCAGTCTGGTTTTCGCTCACGGCACAGTACGGAAACTGCTCTAGTAAAGGTTGTCAATGATCTATTACTTTCTGGAGACTCAGGCAGTTTATCAATTCTTTTATTACTTGACCTCAGCTCAGCTTTTGATACTGTTTGTCATAAGATATTACTATCTCGCCTTGCAGAGGTTGGCATCTCAGGTTCTGCATTATCCTGGTTCTCCTCATATCTCACAGATAGGCAATACTTCATCTCACTGCACAATTCCAAGTCTCCCACTGTTTTGCTCAAACAGGGTGTTCCCCAGGGCT